TTGTCATGTTGTCATTGTATTAGACATATTATCATACGTTTCCTTTGTCATGTTGTCATTGTATTAGACATATTATCATACGTTTCCTCTGTAGCTTCTCCTCCCTCGYATGAAAGAGCGGAATTGATGCTCCGGTCTCTCGCCCAAACAGGAACTCACTTAACTAAGAAAAATAAAGGTAACAGTAATCTTCATACCTGTTTTAGTATAGGGAGTGATAGATCATCTTTCTTCGCACAAAATAACTTGAACACTCCTGACAAAAGTATGGCGTATATCCCTCGTCCTCGCCCTTTCCTCCCTACCCTCCCCCCTGCTTACCCTACCCTACCTCCCCTCGCTAATGATCTCAATACCTGTCATATTTTGTGATGGAAGTCAGTACTGGTTATTAGTGTATAGACTTTKAATATAATTCAGGAATATAAGACGCACGGGCATGTCTCTGTACTGCGAAAGAGAAGCAACCTTAGGAACACAAGACTTAGCAAAGTGTTTGTCTTGCTTTTCGAATGCTCTACAAATTCCAGAGTGTTTATATCTCAGAAAAAAGTCAAAGAGATACATTGATTTGTCATATTTCGTAGTTTCGGTGCTCTTAAAAAATATCATAAAGTCGAACAAAATTCTCTACAAAAATCTATTTTGTCATGTGTTAGAGTATTTAACTTTTTCTAAAATGTTGATATAACCTAGATTTTTAGGAGTTTATTCAAATAAGCTATTAAAAAATATAGAGTCCCGTGCAAAATTTGAGGGTTCTGCCCTGTTGAAGCTCAAAACACGTATGGTTCCTCAATAAAATCTTGTAGCTTTTTCAGCGGTTTTTGAGCGCGCGCACATCGTGGGCTCAAATCGAACGTTCAAAAGTAGGCAGTCACGTTAAGCAGCCGTTTCATATTGCTTTTATAAAATTTTTTTGAACGATTTTAAGCGAATGTGTCTCCGTCCTCTGATATAAACACGGTAATCAGCCAATCAGTGCGCACTATATATTTAAAAATAAAATAAATTAAACAAAAAACGAAAGTTAAAATAAGATTGTTTTCTTTTTTCTCAGAAATCGCCCGCCTTCTCAATGAACAAGATCGCAGAATCAAAAAATGCAGAGACAACGAACAAGGAATACAAACGCTTCTAAGCTAAATGTACAGACTATATCCAACACTAAGATTCGCATCCATGCATCGTAAGCATTACATTACGGTATTTTTAAAGCAGAGCAGAACTTACATTACTGTTTTTAAAAAACTCCCTGTACGGTGTTGTCGTGAGGTATGCCCCTATTTCCCAGTCCACTCGCCATCCCCTCGCCATCAGGAAAGTGAAATCACCCTTTCCTCGCGTCATAAATTTGTCAAACCCCTTAAAGCTCAATGCTAGGCTTCAGACCACATGTCATTCTTCTATGTTTCGTTTCTTTGTCTACTGGTCATGCTTGAAAAATAAAGAATTTTTTAATGCATTGTATGGACGAGACTCAAAGAAGTTTATACTTATCGGTCAGTTGAGTTGATTTTAAAAGTCGGCAGTATTGGTAAACCCTTACTGATTTTCTGAAACCATAGTTAATGGGTGGAATGGTTTGGAAACTCCATAGAATAAAAGTATTGTTTTGCGTTTGAGGTTGAACGGTACCATCACGTGAAACAGACCGTGCACAATGAACCRAAGCAAGTGTGGCTGAAAATAATGATTTCCTTATTATTTTCATGCTTGAACACATTTTGAAAGTGAAAACTTTTATCCGATGACCACAAACCATGCGGATAAATGAAAAAAGGCAATTTCCTTTTCGAAAACAATTAATAATATCATATAGAATTAATTAACAAATAATAACTATTTGAAAACGATTTTTCAAGGAAAAAAATCTATATTAACTAATAGTATAAACAAAGTATAGAACCATTTTTCCTTCACCGTGCACGGTCAACGTCATATAACAACGGATAAAGTCAAACAAAAACCTAGAACAATAGGTGAAGCTGCATGAATAAACACACCAATATATAGTAATGATRAAGAGGGAAATTATACACCKYGAAAAGATGAAATAACTTACTGACGTTCCGGACGCTAGTAAGTTTTTTCATCTTTTCACGGTGTATAATTTACCTTTTCATCATTACTGTTTCATTAGAAACACCGACGCAGCTCACACTAGTTTTAATCTAGTTATATCTTCTTACATCAATATATAGGTGAATAACAATTGTACACCCACGCAATACCATCTACAACCGCAAAATATTCAGGGGGAAATTGTACTGAATAAAAAACATGTCTTTTCGAAGTCACTGATCATTGTTGAATGAGTTAGATTGGGTTTAAAGTGCACTCATTGAATTTCAATGATGTCGTGTTTTGAAAGTTAGAACACAAGCTTAGTACTACAGGATGTTCAATATGCAAATTGAAAAGAATGATGACATCATAGAAAGAATATATGATGAAATTTTCTCAGACATGGTACAAAGTATAACATGAATTAGTTCACCCCACTGATTTCTTGATCATCTTTTCAAAAGAACTGCATATTAAGTTAACTTGGAAAAAAATCAAAAATTTGAAATCAGATTCATGACTCAGCAGGTTCACYACTGTTATCGTTTGCTTGGGTTACCTGTGGAATGCTGCCTCTACTGCTTCATTGTTATTAGAGCACGCCGGTCAGCTAGGTCGAAAGTAAATACTACTACTTCTGTACCAAAGATTTCTTACCTCAAAGGTCAAATCATTCAGTAAATTTAAAGGCTCGAGGTCAGATGTTATTTGGAAAAGAATAGAGTAAATAGAGAAAGGTAAGGTTGTTTGATTCAAGTTCTTTTATTCGTGTGTTGTGCGCCTTGCAGTTGTCCAACCTAAAAATAGGTGTGACAAGCATATTGTAAGTACGTAGTTATAATCGATAGAAACCATGTATTCTATACTTTTGACGCAAACGCTAAGTCCTCTAATCGGAAATTTTTTGACAATTTGCTAGTCGTCCCGTACATTCTTTAAAATTTACTAAAAGTTTCAACTGTTCTGATTCTAGAATTTTGATAATGTTTATGAAGATGCTCAAACAACTGGCTCTCGTCCTCGGTAAGTCGAGCGATCGATAACTGCTAGTCATTAATCTCAAGCTTTCATATAAGCTTCCATTACTAAGCATTACAGAATAGTATACGCTTCGCTTGATAGAATTTTAAAGCTTGTTAGTAAGCTTATGCTAGTGATAAAGCGACCATATTCAGTTTATGATATAATACAGTATTCAAAAAAGCTTAATATGTAAGCTTATAAACAAGTTGTTTCAAGTCTCTATTTTGAAATTGTTTTGAYTCAGAAGCCCATGCAGTTATAATATGGACTTTAAGGCTTATATCGTCATATTTTGTTTATCCAAGTTAATTTCTACTGCACATATATTCTTTTTAAAAGGCTATTGCATATATATATATATATCTAGACCAGATGTCTTCTGTGCATTCTTTATTATTTTGATTTTTACCATAACTTTGAAATTTCTCGCGCGCTGATTGGCTTAGAACCATTGTCAATTAGAGGCTAGACCTGCTCSGCTTACGACATCCGTCACGCGCGCACTGAGTGAGYGGATGAAACAGCTTTTTCAAACTGTTTACTTGTCTTTTTGTTCAATTTTTTCGACTTTATTATGGTAAAAAACAAATCAAAGTCAGTTTTCTATGGGTTTTCTCACTGTGCTCATGGTTCCATTTGAGCTTGGATCATTTTTGACGTCATTTCATGTTTGATTACAGTACAGGCCCATAGAAAACTGACTTCAATTTGTTAAGTAGATCAAAAAAAATGCATAAATTAACAAACTGACTGATWCTTAAGCTTAATAACATACCCATTTGCACTGAATTTATATTTAAATAAGCTTTGAAAATGTTTTTCAGTGCTAGCCTGGTTCCCAAGTAAAGTCAGCTCTGCATGTAAGTACAGACCGATAAACTTATGATATTTTTTTCATATGCTTATTTATTTTCAATGTAGAGTGCAAATAATATACCCGTGAAATAAATAGCTAGCTAACTAATTACTAACTTTGTGCTATCGGTTGCCARAGTCTAATTAGTTAAAGAAATAGGMRAGCCRTGAYGGGTAARCTAGTGCAYGTGTGCTACTCAAGGGCGCGCATTTTTAAATATTTTTAAACACACTTACAAAAACTGAAACAATATTTTAATGTACATGCTTTTCCTTYGTATRATTTTATATGTKCGCATTTTYGTATCTATTCATTTGYGTATTGAGTTTCCACTCTAGTAAACGCCCGTGCCCTTGTCATGCCTCAATGAATTCCTATGTCTTGTCTAATTAGGYGCTCATTATCTCCTATTTCATTTACTTTACATTTCACTTTAATATTGTGTAGTTCCGGAAATCAYCCATACCCACCCCACAGAGGAATTTGGAATTTCTGAAGAGTAGGGTAAGAGAAAGAACAAAAATTACAGAGTTTGTATGGAAGAAAATTGGAATTTCCAGGGGTTAGAGGGGTGTCTTTAAAAAATTCCTCCTTGAGGGGGGTATGGAAACTATTTTTGGWACTATACACATTCAAAGATTCGCTTTAATTTGCAATATTTATTTAAACTCAGAAGTCGTGAGGTGTTCATTAGAASTGCCAGTCAAGAATATATTTTGTACTCATGAGTGGGATATGCAAATGGTAAAAT